CGCCAGGGTAACGGCACTTCGAATTGGATTCCGTTGTGTCGTGCCGTTTTGGTGACGACAGTCAGGGCTGCTCGGTCTTCCCTCGACATAGATACCCGTTCCAGATCGTCTCCTATGGGATTACCTGGCCGCGAAATGATCGAGGCTGAATAATTACCAGCATTACTGAGCGGCCCGCAGAGTATCCAACCAAACATCGTGCGTACAGCATATGGATCTCTACGGCCTTCTAACCTTTGGTCCAGAACCCAATGCGCCTCGGGTACATCACAGGCGATCAATATGTCTACTCGGGTGTCCGGAACATCCTCGAACGGCAGATCGTATCGCCTTCCTGTTCCTTTTCTCGATTCGATCGGCCTCGGTCGCCCAGGCTGTCTGCATTTCGGCCGGCAAACATCTGACAATCGATTCCAGCGTGTGANCATCCAGGTCCGACCGATATTCGAGGTGGTTTAGAACGATGCTGCAATTCTGCATCTTGATGACCAGGTTTGCTAGAGACCTGGTATCGCTTCTTGTGTGCCTCTGCTAGCACCCCCTCAATCATGTTTCGTGCCACTCGGAATGGTTGACCAAACATCTCCTTCAGTATATTTCTGGCTCTCGGGTAGCCCATTTCCGGGTCCAGCATTGCAATAATCGTCGGTTTTGCATTCAACGAAATTTTCGTATTGGTGAATGAATTGGCAATATTGTTCGGGAATACCATCGAAAGGTGTCAGTTCGACTCTTGGCAAATCGTTGTATAGCCTTTTTGGCCTTCCCTCGACAGTAGTGTAGCAAAAACAGAAACCTTTGCCCTGCATCGTCGGTTTTGACATTCAACGACAGTTTCGTATTGGCGAATGAATTGTCAATATTGTTCGGGATTACCATCGAAAGGTGTCAGTTCGACTCTTGTTCGTATTGGAGAATGATTTGGCAATATTGTTCGGGATTACCATCAAAAGATGTCAGTTCAACTCTTGGCAAATCGACGTTTACATGGGCATAGTTTCTTTGCTGAGAGACGAATTCTTTATTCGGAGAGAAGCGACGGTGTGCAGTCTCAGCTCGAGGTGACTTTGTGCCGCTAAAATCGGTTTTTTCACGTTTGGCCTGTTCTATCTGCTCTGTAGCTAATCTCAACTCATGCTCTAACTCAGAAACCCGCAATCTAATTATATCGATATCCTTAATATTTGAATCTACACAGGAAACAGCACTGACAGGACGTACAGATCTAACATTTTCTAAAGAATCAAAATGACCCACATCCCCCCAGTGACTTGCCGGGTCTCGTCTGGGCATCTTCGAAAATAGTTTTCTCGTATGATTCCTATTTGAGTACTGTGCGTCAACCAATTCGCACTTGAGTGACGCGTTGCCAAACGGATACAAATCCCGAAGTAAAATCACAATTGATCTGCAATGTTCTACGGTACTGAATTAACGAAATCATTACAAATGTGCAATAAAGCAAACCTCAAATTTGCGGCTGAGGGCACTCAAGCAAGCGAGCCAAATATGATGTCCAGAGAGAGACAAACAGTCGCTCACGTTCTCTGACCCCCCAAAATTCATATGTGCCGAGTATCGAATTAACAGATAAATAATGATGTATGTTGTTTGTGATTGAGAAATGTCAATAAAGAAGCAACACACAGATAGTGTAATGTCACCATAAATCATCAGGGTCTTGGAAGGATTTTCAAAAATTCAACATGAAATACACTGAGCTCCGCACCTTTGTTCAGGTATCCCCGAATTACAGATGATGTTTGAACAAGTGTGCAGAACAATTGGCGAGCTCAACGCTACTAAATCCGCTGTTCCCAACGGCATTCACCCAGCCTTAATTAGACATAGCTGTACGACGGCACCCTAGAGCAGGGCAGGATATCTCAGGACTGGAAAACGGAAACTGTGGTCGCCATACACAAGGGAGGGCCGAGACAAAAGGTGGGAAACTATCGTTCAGTTAGTTTCACGAGCATCTTGTGCAGAGCACTAGAGTGAATTATCAGCAACTCCTTATGCGAATACCTCACTGAGCACCGATTGCCGATTGCGGTACAGCATGGGTTCCTGAACGTAAGATCCTGCCTCAGCGATCTGTTTGCACTTTTTAGCTGAAGTCACAATGAGATTGGATGAGGGTTAGGAAGTGGAAGTATGCTATCTGGACTTCAGCAAAGCATTTTACTCAGTATATCATCGTTCATTTTTGACCAAGATAGATGATTTCCTGACTAATTGGACCCTACGAGTTCGGGTTGAAAAACCGAACTCGCCAGTGGAAACTTTTGCTGGTGGTGTTCCTCAAAGATCAGTTCTAGGTCCATTCCTTTTCTTGCTTAACATCAATGATCTTACTGAACGCCTTGACTCGCCTAGTTATATATTTTCGGACGACGTTAAGGTTCTGGAATCAAATGGGCAAGCGGAATTAGGGAGGGACATAAGAGAAGTGCTCAAGTGGTCAAGTACATGGGATCTGCCTCTCAGCATAAAAAAGATCCACATCTTGACCACTGGAGATGAGGGACTGATAGTGGGGAGTAGTCATGGCGGTCCATCAATAGGAACGACACAGAAGGCTAGAGATTTAGAAACCATTATGACAACAGACTACAAATGGGCAGAACAATGTGCCGCAGCGGCGCACCGGG